AAGTTGACAGTTTCCATAATGATTTACCTAAACTTAGAGGGGGAAAAACCTTAACTTCGTGTCCAAGCACAGCTTAAGGCAGGATTGTAATTATAGAAGACTACTGTGTCCTGAGCATAGAACAGAGCTTTATCAGAGAATGGTAAATCAACTTTCATCTACCACCAGTGTCTTTCAAGTCTGTGGTTTCTGTTAAGTTTCTCACTGGCTCTGTATTTGTGATAAGGGAAGGTAAGACTTTAGAATTTTAATGATTCATGCTTGTTTCCCATATCTGAACCTTGTTCAGCTGTATGGAAAGGGTCTTCTGCAAGCTGATCACCTCCTTTGCAGTGTCTGGCCAGTAGCTAGCAAGTATCATAAACACAATCAGCAACCAATATATTTTCTGTTGAGAACATCCCATAATACTCCCATGCAGTTAATAATGTTATCCCTTACACTCATATACTGCAAAGATTTTTTTGTTGTTGCATTTTTCTGGGATGAGAAAGAGAAATGTCCATCTAAAAAATAAATATAAAAATGATCTTATAAAAATAATGGTCCCTGTTAAACAGGGGGTCTGAGTCTTAGGGGGATGCCAGACAACGTTCCTGTTGTAATGTTACTCTAGATCAAGTTTCAGGATCAGTTATATAAGATAGGAAAACTTGTTCATATGTTCATATGTTACTGAGTTCCTATTCAAAACGGGAGTATTTTTGATATTTGCTTCTTCTGCAGTGGCAGATGAGAGTTACTGCAAAGACCCTTATGTCAAGTGTTCTGATGAACTCATCAGGCCTCCATCTGTAGTTACACGACTAGCATATTTTTTGTAGCTCTGTGTGTCATGCTTCAGATAGTGCACCAGTGTGTGGATTGTCAGACAAACGTGGAATTGCCTTTTCATGACTCTAAGGCTCTGTACTGTATGGCCTGTGGCTTTGCACAGGTACCAAAAGCTGTGCAAAATATGTTCTGTAGATTTGGACAAGCTGTACTTGTAATATAATCACAATTGCTTTAAATGACCATAGATGGTGGCAGTGCCCCTTGAGTGTCAGAGGTTCTTCATGCTCCTTCTACAGACAAAATTTGGGTACAGAATTCTTTCTTTCCTGACAGCAGATTCTGAAAATTCATTCATAGTTGGAGAATCTTCTTTGTCTTCCTTCTGTTTAATATCCCCAAACAGGTATTTACTGTTCCACAGTGTGAATGATTTTCTCATATTTAAGCCAACCTGGTGACACACTGTCATTCCTGAACAGTTCTGCCTGGAAAATGGGTAATTTATTGCAGACATTTCACAAAGAAGAGAAAAATGTCTTCCATTAAATTGTTTTTTACTACCTCTAGGCATTAACTTATATTATTTTATGATTGATGATAGTCTTGTGATTTGGACAAACAGCAGCAATCAGCTAAGGTGAAAATGTACTCTTCTCACCTGAGGGCTTCTTCAAGAGCTAAAAAGAAATGGCTCAAGGGTATCTTGGGCCTTTCCCTTTGAGATACAGTTTTTTTTTATTTTTGTTATTAGAAAATATCTTTAATTTTTTTTTTTACTAAAATTTAGAATGAAATACAATATTAATTATCACATATCAATGCATCCTTACAATTTTTCTTGTCATAGGGAAACAGCAAAGTTTCCGTGCTGAATTTGTTAAACCCCCTTTCAGTAATTTTTGAAATCTTTGAAGATGACCTACAGAATTATATGGAAAAGCATTGGCGTGATCTTCATTCTGTTTGGTCTCAAAACATAAAGCATCCTGAAAGATCCTACATGGACATGCTCTTCGGTTATGCTCAATATACTTCACATCTATTAGGCTTTCATAGTTATTATTAGGCAAATGGAAGTTAGACTATGAAAATTAGACTTGCAATACTACCACTTCTTGCAGGGGAGGACAGCTATTGCACAAACGTGCAGTACACTTGGTGCTACCACAGTTCCATTGCCAGTGTTAGCTTAGCTTAGTAATTTAGACATGGCTCAGATATGAGCGTCTGTGCTGCAACAATAGAAATACATTATCTGAAATAACACCAATAAATACAGTAAAAAATAAATGATCTCCAATGCTAGCAGCATTGACATGCAGAAAGGTGCTATTTTTCCTAAACAAGTTAACTTCCTGAATACAATTCAAGTGACTTAACATACTCCAGTTGTGTAGTTGTAGCTTGGCCTGAGGCTGTGAGAGAAACCGAAGTGTGTATGGAGAGGAAATGCCTCTCTTAGTGTGGTGGTAAAGAATGGATATACTTCTGAACTTGTAATCTTTTCACTAGATCTAGTAAGAGGTAGCAAAACTCAAGCAAAACATAGGTTTTACAAAAGTGGTACAGGTATGATGCCAGATAATTGAGGTGTGATTTTCTTGTAACTGAGAATCTGTAGTGTTATCCTGATGACTTTCTTGGGGTATGGTAGTGATTTATTGTCATGAGAAGGCTCTGGCTTCTACACACCCTCCAGTCTCTCTGTTTTGAACGTTTCATGGAGTACCTGAGGTAAGTCCTGTGCTCTTGGTGTCCCATATGTCTTGGCTGCAGCACGCTACAGCTTCCCCATGTTATAGTTTCCTCTTTGTGGGAACCAGGGCCCTGAGGGAGAAATGGTACAATAATCTTGCTTTGATATGGGCATGTCAGAGTGGGAACCATGGGAGATGAGCTGCAGTTTTGTGTCTTTTAGACAGCTTAGACATTTGTGTCCCACAGTCCAAGTTATGGAGATATTGAGCACAGTTTATGATACACTTTAGGTCAAGGTTTTAATCAGTCCACCACTGTTTTCAAGACTCACAACCTGACGCCAACATCAAATGTTGCAGCAGTGCCCCAAGGTATGTTTCCAGCAGCGCAGTTCAGTCAGTGTGATATTTATGTTTGAAGCTTCAGGTGACCCTGATAACCTCACACTTTCACTCTAATGCATTTTCTTGTGTGCAGTTAGAGTATTAGTGGGATTCTGGAAGTTTAGGCAGCTTCTGGTCCTGCCAGCAGGTGGTAACATATTTACCTGTGTCAACACATTGGCTTATTTTTAGGAACAGGCAATGATTCCTCAAATCAGAGCATTAGTACAGGTATTTCTGGGCATAATGCAGTGGCTAGGGAGTGGATTTACACCTGTGTCCTTCCACTTACAAATCTACAAATACTGCAGTATTTGCAGAAATGGCAGAGATTACATGTACTAAATGGCTTGTCTGTCTTTTTTAAATCTCTTAATGGGCTTAAAGACCCTATAAATAGATGAGGTTCAGAAGCCCCACACTCACTGTCTTGGAGATCCACAAACATGTAGATAAGAATTTTTGAGAACTCTTATCAGAGTTTTCTACTGCTCTGGTAAGAGTTTGCACAAATAATTTTATCTATGTGTTTAATAAATTAAAAAAAATAATCCCTGTAATATTGCCAGTAATACTTCTCAGTTTTTTCTTTATACCTGGAAGTTTAATCTTTTGTTTTTCTCATCTTGAGGAAAGTACAATTGTATTTGAGCTCAATTATGGCTTCTTTTCCCAAGCAAAAGTGTTGAGCTCAGTTCTGTGGTTGGTGTATTTAGTCAAAATTGGATAAAAAGTGGAGCTCAGACTTTATGCTGATATTTACTTTGTAAATGATCTCTCTTTTTTTCAGGTGTAATGCAAGACTGGGGGTTTACTATGGCAGAGTTAGATGTGTTGGATGTCTATTGGTATCTAAGCAACTTGTGTGAAATCCTTTTGAAGTGACTGGAAAGGAACAGGTACTCCTAGATCATGATTCACCTTAAATGTTTACCCTAGGGTGAGATGAACTATAGCTGAGAAATGCCTTTTTCTCTCTATAAACTATAAAATGAGTCTAGCTCGCTCCTAGGATTTTAGGCTGCCAGTGCTGTAATATATATATATATATATATATACACATATATAGACAATTTGGGCAGCCCAGTTTGTTGGTATTCCTCTGTGTACTGGGGGCAAAATACCAGAGCCATGTTATTCAAATGTGACTTAGTGAGTACCAAGCAGAGGGGAGTAATCAGATACCTGTACCTGCTTGCTGTAGTATCACTAATTTGGCCCATAAAACTGACCCATTCCAGATGCATGACTCTGCATTTATTGTTAAACTTCATGAGGTTTCTGTCAGCCCATGCCTTCGATTTGCTGAGATCTTCATAAATGGCTGCTGATCCTCCACAGTGTATCAGGCACTTGCCCCAGCTGGGTGCCTTGCCATGGGCTTCAGGAGGGCTCTTTCTGTCCCATTGTGTGGGTCATTGATGTTAAACACCTGAAGCATTAGAAAGGATCAGCCCCAAAGCTGACTGACTGGCGATGGGCACCACTTGTAGCTGGCTGCAGTTAGAGTCTGAACCACCAATCAGTAGCCTTTGGGCCAAAATTCCCAGCTTCTCACTTACTTTGTGGTTCACCCATCCAGTTAGTACCGTCTCAGTTTCCCGGCAAGGATGTGATGGGGGGACTGCATAGAAAGCGTTGTTAATGTCAGGGTGGATGACAGTGTTTGCCTTCCCCTTGCCCACAGATACAGTCATTTCATTATGGAATGCTTCTGGACAAATGCTTTGAAGTATGGTTGCAGCTTACAGAATATGTCATTAATAGTTGTGCATTGGGACCCCCAGTATACTTTTATATTATTGTCACTATTATCAAGCATAATGAAACAGGGCTATACCACATACTATATAGCCTTCCTAAGGGAAATTTCATGCTGTGAAATTCTTATAAAACCATGGAATTGTTATCATTGACTTCAGTGAGGCCAGTAACTATGTAAAGATTTCATTTTCTGTGTCCTAATTACCTGCCTATTGGGGAACATGGATGAAGTTGTTCTTTTTGCAGAATTAAAAGCTCAAATTAAGTGTTTATCTTTAAAGAGAAAGTTACTACCTTGTAGTAAGTATTGCACTGTGTTTGAAAGAAGCAGTTGCAATTCAGTGGAAATTCTTATCAAATCCCTGTTTTTGTTTTCAGTAGGCTACTTCAGTAAGGAATGCACTTCATCTCAAAAGCCTGTTTGACTGTATTGGAGCTGTGCCAGTTTATACCAGCTGGTCTCATGAAATTGCAAGCCACTCAGGATCCTGGATTCAGGATTTCAGGTAAGAGATTGTTTTTCTGGAAACGTATCATATGGAAAAATAAGATGAACATGTACTTCTGTTTCACTAGTAGGTTAATACTAGCACAGCACACAGCAAACGTTTGTCCCGTACGTAGTGGTGAGAGCAGCAAAACCAGCAAAGGTGGTATTTTGAAGCATTGCTGGAAGGAATGCATGATTAGAATATACGGTAAGAGTTAGTGTTTGTTCATTTGTATTTGGCATCTCTGAGTGTGCTCCCAGAGAAGGAGAAAAAAACTGCATCTGCTAGATGTTACTAGAGTCAGGTTCCTACCAAAGGTGGGTAGAGTAGAGAGGGAGCTAGACTGCCAGCATCCACAAATTACCTGTAGCAATGGTTTGACTACTGAGGAACTTCAGTGTTACATACAACCTAGAGTGGGATTGTTAGTGGAATATTTATAACCTTAGTAGCTTTGTTTAAAAAAAATTAATTAAGAAATTACTTTGTGTGTGGATTTTTTTTGTTTGTGTGTTGGTTTGTTTGGGTTTTTTTTCCCTAAAAAAGCTTCATGCCAGCAGTCCTTCCATTAAACATGAGTTTAGTTTGTTCATAAACATCCCAAAGAAACAAAAAATAATTCAGACATTACTTGTTTTCTGCACCAAAGCACATCTCATACTGCATATTTTTAAAATGTACCAGAAAAAAAGCAATCAGTGCAAACTTAAAAAGGTAAAAGTTTTGAGGTGAGGTCTTCCTGCACAGAAGCTGACTGCAGTCTTTTCAAGGGCTCCATAGAGCAAAGACTTCATCTCTTGTTTGGTATTGTTATGCTTGGCTGGGTTTGCATCAATGTAAGTCCATTTTACAGAAATACCTTCTTTCACTGTTTTGTTATTCCTGAAGTTTGGAAATTAACTTGCTGTTTTACTTGAAATACAAATACCTGCAAAGGTTGCAAATAAACCACCTATTAAAGGCACATTTTTTCTGATGAATATGCACCAATCCTAGTCTTCTCATTTTCTGATTTTAAATATTTTGTGAAATTGTTCACTCTGCTACTAAAATTGGCTGGCAACCTTCTGAGTGCATTTTGGTTTTTGAATTATGAAGGTGGAGGGTGCATAAGAGAGATGTAAAAGATTTAATAAGGTAGACTTCAAACATTTCTACTATCACAACACTTTAAAATGTGTAGGCATTGCTTCAATTTTATACTAAGAAAGCTTAGCTCTGAACACGTGATAAATTTTTGAGAACTGGATCTCAACCCCAGGTATTAATTAGGGTACTTTTTGCTGACGCTGTGTGGAAATCTGGAGTTTACTCTTGTGGACAGAAGTTATTAACTGCGTCTTTGGTGTGAATCTCATTGATAATTCCATATTAATCTGATTTTGGAGCTAATAGTGGAGACCCTGGCCTGGGACCATGCTAAGTCAAAGGGAGGGAGCAATTAATCCTCAGTGTATGTGTTAGGAAGGGTAAGAAAAGTCCGTATTTGAGATTCCCTGAAGGGGTGATGACTACGACACCACATTAACTAAATACTGTTCTGGTATTCCAGATAATGCAGTTTTAACTTTTTAGTTGGGTGAGACAAAACTGAAGATCTATGTAATTTCTCTGTCCAAATCTAACAGCTCAGTCACGACACCACTCAAACTCTGCACTGCTTCAAGGACCCACATGGCTTGGGTGCAGATCAGTCTAGTTCTCACAGCTTAGTGCTTCTGCTTCTGGAATTAAAATACATAGCCCTGGTGTCTTAGATGTATGTACAAAATATTACTGTTTGTAAACTGTACATATCTCGAAGAAATAGTTATTTTATAGTTACATGAATACCTATGGAAAAGCTGAAGTTTTGTGCCTCTTGCTTGATCACAGTAAGGCTGCATGACTGGTTTGCTATAGAGGCTGACAGACCCCCTGCTGAAGTGCTGATAGGCTAAGGCAAGTGACAGAGGATGTGATTAGGATTTAGAAGGTAAAAGTAGGTACATGCACTTCATAATATTGACTTTAGTATGTATTTGCAAAATTGAAGTATCACAAACAAAATCACAGCCAGTCTTATCCGTCTTTCCCTCTAACTATCATCTGACCCTGTCGATGCACCTGCTTGGAGCTCTCCTTGTGCTGCAATGTTTAAGGGAATGATCATGTTTCATGATGTGGAAAACAGGGGATGATCCAGAGGTCAAAGGCATATAGCCTGGCTCTTGAGTGCTACATTGTTAAGCCAAGTTTTAGAATATTGTGGTGCTCCTGTGCAAATTGGAATAGGTCAGAAGAGCCATGACAGTGGTGCAAAGTCTTCCTTTCAGTAAGGAATTAAAAGTGCTATAAAGGAAGAGAAGCATTAATATAGAACCTACTTGTATTGAGAAAACAGAGGTCTTCTTGGCCTGGAAATGAGATGTAACAGGATCCAAGGACCTGAAGTTCAATCTAGGCAAATTATGACATATGTCTTATGTCTGCAAGATACATATTTAGTTATAGTTTGCTGTTGGAATAACTAAGCAAACAGCGTATTCTTCCCTTGCAGGTTTTAAATTAAGGCAGCTTATTCTTTCTCAGGGATTATTTAGGTCAGTGACTAATCAGGGCCTGATTCAATGTATTTTATTTAGAAAGTCGGATTAAATCGACATGTTTGAGGAATTTCTTTCACCTGAAAAATAAGCCTAGAAAGGGTAGCTATCTTAGTAATTAACAAGCTAATGTATTGATTCATTTTATGTATTGTATTATTTTATTAGGTAGAGTCCTTAACAACTCTTAATTATTTAGATTTTAAAATAGTATTCTCTAATATTAACTTAGCAAGTAGCAAAATTCAAAGGCCCATCTTAGAATCAGAATACCATAAAATTCATAGACTTTGGTAGGTGATACCTTGTGGGGAAAATTAAGGAAATAACCAAATATTTGGTGCTCTTTAGCAACACAGATTGTCTGTTACAGGAGTTGTAGGATTGGGCTTGTGGACTCAGACATATTTCATTGGCATTACTTTCTTTGGCTGAAGAATGTGAGAGGTTATATTAGGGAGACAATTATTAGAGTACTTTTTTTCCAGTTCTGATGCCAGTATTAAAAAAGAGATTTTTCACAATCAAAGCATATATCCCAATCAGCCCTGAACCTTTTTGGATCATATTTCAAATGAATTAACTTAGAGTCAAATAATTTCAGACAGAGTATATTAGCATAAGAAAGCGCCATTACTGCTTTCCAATGAAATGAGAAACATAACTGAGTACCACCTGTCACAAAGGCGGTACAATGATCCAGATGGTTATTTATTTTCAGATAGGGGGAAGAATGGAGAGAGGAAAAACTGCTGCCAGAATTTCTGCTGTTTCCCCCCCTGCTTTGTTACCTTCTTGTCAGAACAGTTTTTCTAATGCCAGGAAAAAAAATTCTTCAGAATAGGTTGTATTGATGGGATGTTTCTTTTATATCGAGGTAGTTCACTTTTAGTAACATAAAATGCAGTTTGAGAGGGCCACTCATTACTATTTCATTCTTGTACCATCAGTAAGAGAAAAACAATTAAAAGGATTGTGGCTTCTTGGTGATTTCTTTTCCCTCTGAAGCTTAGAAATTAATTTGCAGTTTTACTTGAAATAGAAATACCTGTAACAAGCTAAAAATAACCTGCAGTTTTCAAAAAAGATTTCCCTTCATTAAAGAAATATTTTCTATGATAAACATGCACAATATGAGCATTCAAATTAATGTGTATTGTGCATGTATTTTATTTACCAGTGTATTTGAGGCTCGACCTTAGGCAAGAACCAAGAGAGGGCAAACTGATCTCACCCTAGTCCTTTCTGATTTTCAAAACTGTGTGAAGTTATTCACTGTGCTGCTAAAATCTGCTGGCAACCTTTTTAGGTCTGACAGAGTGCAGGTTCTTTTTGGAATTAAGAACATGGTAAGAGAATTGGACATAGATGTAAATGAGTGAAGTAGGTTTCAAGCATACTTCTATTATGGGGACATTTTAAAGTAAGTGGTTCTCGTGATCAGTTTTGTAAACTGACTACTGTGTGGAAATCAAGAGTTCATTCTTGTTCAGCAGCAGTTCTCCCCCACCTCTCCCAACCTGGTAGAGTGACATATTTTATGGCTAAACTGGGAGAACAGCCAACACACTCAGGATGTCTTCCTAGAACATGAATACAGAAATTGTATTTAGAGAAATCTATTTTAAATTATAGCTTTATTTTGATGACAAAATGAAAACTGACAGAAAGGTATGACAGTAAAAATCTGAGTGGGATTGGGTCAATAAGTGATCCTAGGCTTCTGTGACAGCTTATTTATATTTATATTTATATTTGTATTTATATTTATATATTTATATTTGTATTTATACTTATATTTAAAACATACATGTACAATTAACATTGTTTATTATATCAGAATACCTTCTTGGGACTTAGGTGGAGGAACTACCAGTCACTCTCAATAATTAGGGAGAAGCCTTTAGGTAGGAAATTAGAACTTATATTACAAAGACATAATAAGGCAAGTATTGCAAGACCTCTCATGAGCTTGAGCACTGTAATTTTTAGGTCTTCATTTTGGAGCTGTATCTTATCATATGCCTATTTTTGTATATACAGAGCTATGTCTGTGCTGTGTAAGCCAGTGGGAATTATTTACATCCCTGACCATTTTGATGTCAAACCCAGATAAGTAGGTATATGCCACATGCCTCCAAAGCCTATGCTATATATCCCTCCAAACTACTTTGAGAATGGGCTGAGCCTTCTGAATGTATTTCTCCTTATATATAAAACATACCCTTTGAGAATACATTTTAGGGAATGAAACCTCTGTTAAGTGGGTTTAAAGCATTAATCATCATTCAGCAAAACACGTGCATTTGGCTTGCTGCAGGCCAGTTTTAGGCAGTTTTAGGAAGGAGAAGAATAAATGTCAACTTTTCTGTCTTTGTTTTCTTATGAAAAATGACACCAGGCAGGGATCTGGTCAGTT